ATTTCTTTTGTAGACATACAATTTTAATAAAACTTATAGAGCGTAATCATATAGTATATATATAATAATAATGTGTGTTCCAAAGCGCAAGTCTCTAATACTTTAAATGCGTTTTTTACAAATTGATGGCGAAGGGGGTAAATCCAAAATCTGTAGACGACAAAATCTTCGTATCGATCAACTGTATATACACAGTAAATCTGAAGTCTCTAGGTCTAAAAACTGTTCAAACTGAAAAAACAAACTCAAATATTCGATTATTCTCGATAAAAAGTTATCGGATGAGTTATCGAAAAAATATGATAAACTTGTATGGTACTCACGAATATGCATGCCAAATTTCAACTCTCTAGCTCTTATAACTTCTGAGATCGACGCACTCATACGGACGGACGGACAGGGCTATATCGACTCAGCTCGTCATCCTAATTAAGAATATGTATACTTTATGAGGTCTGCCATGCCTCCTTCTGCCCGTTATATACTTTTTCACAAAACCATTATACCCTGATTTCCCATTTCCAATGGGTTCAGGGTATAATATATAGTGAGTAATTATGGACTAGAGGATATATAATAGAGAAGCTTGAATTTGTATTCACTTTTAAAGGGAGACTTTTTTATTTATAAATTATTAAAGAAATAATTTCAATGAAATACATATTTTTAAATTTTAAAATTTTAGAGAACTGCAGAATTTAATTTACTACGACAAATAATGTCGCTTGCAAGTTGCAACAGTTGCAACTACAGTAATCCCAATACGATCTCAGATTTAAGCTATAGTTCTACATATACATATATTAAAAGCAACATAACTGTTGGAAAGAAAATAGCACATTAACGAGTATTTATATATATACATATATCAATGATAGATACTAGGCAGATTTTTGTTCGCTTTTGCCCTATAAAACATGGTTGAAGGACGATTAGACTCTTACATACGAGCACACACATACGGAAGCACTCGCACTCACACAGGCACAGGTATTAGACCCACCATCCATCTAGCTGTGTGTATGTGCCCTAACCTAACCTAAACAACAACAACAGTACCAGAAGTCTGGGGCAGTAAAAAACGAAAGTAATGGCAAGTTTCTATTTTCCATTGTTTTTCTCTTTTCTCCTATATATTTTGTTCTTTTTTTTACTAACTAACTGAAGTGAAACTCAACTTAGCTCATTTTGAAGGACTTTTTGGCGTTTGGTCGTGCCTTTGCGATTGTTTATTTATTTTGCGCTCAAAATTAAATGTCCGCAAAAGTTTAGCTGGGTGGGTAAATTACTTTACACGCTTCTTAAACACGCAGTCTACGTACATTCCATACTCGACTTTGGCTAAACATTTGTTTTAATTAAAAATAAGAGCACCAAGCATACTGAGTGAAGGAAACTAGGAAACAAAACTATGAATGACTATGAAAAACTACGAAAGCCTATTTAAATTCTACGTAAGCTTTAAATTTCGCTTGAAAGCTCAATATATATGTTATATATATCGGTACATTGTCTTCTAATGTACTTTATATGGAATGCTCCAATACCAATATATTTTATATATATATTATTTATTCTTATTAGCTTTTATTTATCAATACAATTTTACAAGTATAAGAATTGCATATTATCAGGCTTTTCTAAATCTATCATAATTTCTGATAATTTCAGTATGTAGAATGATTTAAACGAGTCGAGTACAAAAATGATATTAAATATAAATATATAATATACATAATTAAACGGTGATTGCAAAGACTTTTGAGACTCCAAATCAGATTATATATGCATTATATACAATTATATGCAATATGCAGATAATAATAGTAAATATATTTATTAAATTAAATAAAAACACAATAATATAAAATTAGAAAAATATATATAAAACTAATAAATACAAGCGGAAATAAATAAAGATAAGCCCAAATGATATATGCAAATAATTCAAGCGTGTAGGTCGCTTCTCTTTGGGAACTACTATCCAAAATATTGAGCTCTGCTCTTCAATACTTGTTGTGCTTGGCGTGTCTCGCAACTTAGCTGACGGACAACGCAGCAGATCAATTATAATGTCATTATTAGTCGAAACTGTCAGCATACTGGACTAACAAGCAAATGCTATCCAATTACTCAATCAACAACCGTTCGATGGATAAACGAAAAAATATTCTATATGCATAAGATAAAGCTTGCCTTGCCGACATAAAATAACTATTTCACAGTCAGAGTCAGAGCTGAGGCAAAATCATGGCTAAAATCATGCAATTCGACCTGCGCTACAATTGACAGCATTTTTATCAGCTTATTTGCGCATAACTCGCTGATAAGAGATACATTTTTTTTATTTTTACGTACTCTCGATTCGTGGCTAGCAGAAGTACAGCAAGGATACGCACAGGACACACACGGCAGGAAACATTAGATATATTATATATATATAAATATATATATATATATATATATATATATATATATTTATATATAATTATTTTGTTCGAATGTGCACACAATATTTATTAGTAATTTTTATTGTTTTGTTATTAATAAGATTAATGAGATTAAGTATTCAACACGACCGTTAGACAGATGCACAGTTTAAGCTCTTGAAGCACTAGACATTATTGAACTTATTTGTGGTTACATATATAGATATGATTATTTTAACATTAATTTATTTGTTAGATTAAGATACTTTAAGTTATTGTTGCTTGAAGGTTTGAAGCCAGTTCTTGCTGTTGTGCTGCGTGTCTGTGTGTGTTAACGAAATGAGGAAAGATTGTCTACTGGCGTTTGCAAAAACTTTGCCCGAGCCAAAAGCCAAACGAACAGAGTCGAGGCGCCGAGCTTTGCAGCTGCTGCTGCTGCCTCATGGACAACATTGCGTATGTGTGTTGTATGTGCGTGTGGCAGTGTTGGTCAATGCGCGCGCAAATTGCCAAAACGCGTGCACGCCAACAGGCAAATGGCAATGTCGCCCACAACAACAGCTGAGCTGGTCCCAGCTGCTCAGAGAGAGCGAATAAGAGAGAGCGAGAGCCAGAGCGAGGAGAGAGATAAAAAAGAGAGCGGCCATTGCGAGCGTGAGAGCACGCGCATAGTACGCACGCTAGGCGAAGTGAAAGTATTCCTGTGTTTATTAACAGTTAAAGGCCACCCAACCACCCCCAGCCCCCATCCCCTCGCAGACCATTAGCAAAGGTCGCCAATTTCACTGATAATAATATAGAAATTCGTGTTGGCAACGCTGCGCTACGTCTGACAGAGACAGCATTAAATTTTGCTCGTTCCGTTCTACTTTTTCTGTGGACCGGAAGTGACCATTGGTAAGTGGCGTTTCCTTAAGCAAACAATTGTTAGCCTCTAATAAAATGCAATTCGAGTCAAGAAACTGTCGCAACTACAAATGCAATTTCCATCTAAAAGTTTTCACATTTTGGCTCTTAGCCTGTTATTATTTACATTTAACCAAGACGATGACCGCCCACTCATGGCTCATTCTGAGTACTTTAGAAATCATAATATTCCAGAGATGAGAATGATGTCTTAGATGTCTTGGGGGAGTGCATGTACGACGCATGAAGTAAAAGATTTTAAATACTAAATTTTTATTCACTTTGCCTTAAGAGAGTTTGGTTTATATATAGCAAGCATTCAATTTTATATCAGCACAGTTCTTCTGAATATTAAGTAATGCAAGAAGCCTCTGAAGGATATGGATATGATGGGATTATCATGTAGGATTCTAGGGTAGCTGCCTTAAGCCTCCGATTTTCGGAAACCACGAAAAATGAAAGTATCTATATATTCTTGCCTATATGATTTTGCCGACAACATCTAAAGAAAATGCCATGTTTAAAATGTAGCAAGTATTTCTATTGCTATTATTAAATTTACAATTCAATTAATCTATTTTTTTAATTACACGACATTTTTTTTATCAAGTTTCATGAAATACAGGAAATTGACTCTCCTGACTCGAAAAGTGAGAAATACGGCCCATTTCATAATCAAATAATTGTTTTCCAAGTGGCATTTCTCAAAAACGATCTAATTTTACTTAAACCCAAAAGACTGCTCCGCACTTAATAAAGTTAAATGTACTATATTATAATTATAATACACAAAAATGCAAGCAAAGAGGCGAGCACACAGCAAAAGCTAACGGTTCTTTCTTAGCTTTTATAAATAGAACACAAATTGCAGTAAATGCTACTGAACATGCTTCTGTTAACAAAGTACAGCAGAATTTATTTTTGGAAAACCTTAAAAATATTGGTAAAATGGTTCAAAGTTTAAGCTGTATAAGCTGTGTATAAGTTAAATATAATTCAATTAATCTCATCAAATATTTCGATTTGCATATACGTTTCTATTGCAAAATCGTTTACTCTCTTTTATAAAGTTTACCCTCGAGCCGAATAGACAATAATAAAGACAAGTAAGAAGGCTCCAGTCGAGACTGCTCGACTGGGAGATAACCTGAACCCTCCAAGCTGATATTCACACGCAGCCACACGCACGTATAACACGCGCTCTGCTGACTGCGCAGTTAGCAGCGACAGCGCTTGGACTGCGCTGCAGTGTGGGCAATATTATGAGAATTTATTAGTTAAATAAATTCTCTTGTAGTAAGACTATCTTAGCTTTCAGAGCGTAATCATATGTTTAAAATGTGTGTACATTCCAAAGCACAAGTCTGTAGTACTTTTTAAAAATTGGTGGCGAAGGGGGCGTGGTATCCAAAATCTGTAAATTACAAAATCTTTTTATCCATTAACTTTATATACAACGCAAATTTGAAGTCTCCGGGTCTAAAAGTATTTAAATTAAGCTGAAAACAAAGTCGATTTTTCGATTATTCTCGATAAAAAAGTTATCGGGTGAGTTATCGAAAAATAAGATAAGCTTGTACTGCCTATGGTATACACACATACATTACATACTTTTCACAAAACCATTATACGCTGATTTCCCATTTTCAATGGGTACAGGGTATAAAAACACTCCAAACGTGACAAAAGCTTGATTTTATGCTATAGGAAAGCAGCAGCGTGTTATCTGGGCAATTCATTTCTGGAATCAAATAATACTTGTAGTCGCAGCTTCATTTACAACCCACATCGCACACCGAACTCGAAGCTCGCAACTGAAACTCAATACCCAGAACAGATTCAACTCTTTTGCTATTGCTGTGACTATAAAAACAAAGCATCAAGCCACAAACGAGCAACAGTCATTGGGTAGTTGGGAACATGTGGGAGCCACAAGCACTGAGCATTATCATTTACACGCTGCTGGGCCTGGCTCTAACGCTGCCCCTCGAGGAGCCTCGCTACAATCAACTGGGGTAAGTGAAAAGACACCAAATGTTTTGGGGAATTGCGGTTGCTATACTTTTATAACTATTAGAAAAAGTCGTTCTCTCTCTTGAATTATTTAATCGGAAGTATTTTAGTGACGCGTCTTGGGTGTTAATTTTAAATATTATGTGGTATTGTAGTAATGCCAATACGTTCGTATAGGGTATACAAAAGTAAGACACTTTCAACTGTCGTGTTCTAAACTATTAAACAAATTATATATTAATTTATATATAGTAACATATAGCATAATATTGAGTATAGTAATTTATACAAGTTAAGCGCTCTCACACTAGGGTACTAGTGATTAGGGGCGCTGAGTTGGGTTCTCGCGAATATAAATTACCTTAGTAACAATAGGTCTAAACTCACTTTCTCTCTCTCTCCCTTTCTCTCTCTCGTCCGAATATGAACTGAGCCAATCAGTTCTACTGGTGGGGTTCGAGTAAGTTGCTTTCTTAAATCTATAATCGAAGCCAAATGCATTTCTAGCTACAAACACGATCAATTGGCCAATTCAACCATGTGTAATAACAGCGTAATTGCCACGACCGATCGACGGGGGGTTCCGGCCACTACGCCCTCGCCCACGCCCTCGGCCACGCCCACGCCCATGCCCAGGCCCAGGCCTACGCCACAATTCGAGTATGCGCTGCTTGGCCAAGACTCTAGGGATCAGCATTGGTATCGTGTGAGTCTAACACCGCTGGACAACAAGTCGGGCTATCGAGCGCAGTTCGCAATGCGACAACCTCCACCATATGACTCTCAGCAGGCGCACAAGCACGATAAGATGATCACTGAGTTGCTGAATTTCCTGGATAAATCTGAGGAGCACAATCTACAGAAGGCCTACAGACAGCTACTGGCCAGTGCCGAGTACAACGACGAGGAGAGCAAGATGAAGCAGGGCGTGGATAAAACCGAAGTTCAAATGGATGACGACGTGGACTTGAAAAGTAATTTGAAGACTGATCCCAATCATCGTCTTATTTTGGTGGCTGAATTGCCGGGAGCCACGACCGCAAATAACCAGAGTGGCAACGATTCGAATGAGGTGAACAATTTAGTATACTTCATAAAGGGCTTAAAGTAAAGGGTACTTCTGCATGATACCCAGTTGAGAGACATCTATACCTCGAATCTGGTATTATCTAATATTATCAATTTCCCAATTAATTATATATATAAATAAAAAAAAGTATTAGAAATATGAAAGCATTAAATAAACGATTAAAAAATATATCTATATCTATATCTATATCTATATCTATATCTATATCTATATCTATATCTATATCTATATCTATATCTATATCTATATCTATATCTATATCTATATCTATATCTATATCTATATCTATATCTATATCTATATCTATATCTATATCTATATCTATATCTATATCTATATCTATATCTATATCTATATCTATATCTATATCTATATCTATATCTATATCTATATCTATATCTATATCTATATCTATATCTATATCTATATCTATATCTATATCTATATCTATATCTATATCTATATCTATATCTATATCTATATCTATATCTATATCTATATCTATATCTATATCTATATCTATATATATCTATATCTATATCTATATCTATATCTATATCTATATCTATATCTATATCTATATCTATATCTATATCTATATCTATATCTATATCTATATCTATATCTATATCTATATCTATATCTATATCTATATCTATATCTATATCTATATCTATATCTATATCTATATCTATATCTATATCTATATCTATATCTATATCTATATCTATATCTATATCTATATCTATATCTATATCTATATCTATATCTATATCTATATCTATATCTATATCTATATCTATATCTATATCTATATCTATATTTATATCTATATTTATTTCTTATTTTTATTATTATTCTAGCAACCCAATAGCTTATGCAAGCTATTCTTAACACATTTGCCTCTCTCTAATACTCTGATATTTTTCCCATGAACTCAACTTATATTCCAACTCTTATACGATAAGCAGCTAAGTAACTGCACTGGCAAGCCCAAAGACAAACCTCTGCTGAGTGTGTGTAAGAGTATGTATGCGTGAGTGTGTGGAGCTGTGTGCGGCACACTTCTTTGGACACTTGCTGCTCCAATTGCAAACTGTTAAAAGAACACTGTGACCCACATGGAACTCTGAACTAAAAGTAATGTTTAAAAATTTGTGCATGACAAAATGTTCTGTTAAAATTGATTTTTACTCAGGATTAATGCTTTATAAGCGAAATTAGGGCTAATTTTGTTGCCTACGTAAGATGTGCATCTCGATCAAATGACATAAGCTTATTTGCTTATTTAAAGCCTGTTCGATGTCATTATACCGACATAGACCCAGACACCAAGAAACAACTCTCTGTGACGCATTTGGACTACGCACAAGTTCAGCTTTAATGCATTGAAATATCGCCAATTTTGTTGCAGATAATTTGCATATAATATGCAGATATTATGCTTTCTGAAAAGGTTTTAATGAATCCAAAAATTAAAAAAACAAATATAATTTTCTCTTATCAAGTAAATCCGTTTGTTTTTAATTTGATAATAATGATCAGTTAAAGGCCAACTTTCTTTCACATCCAAAGTAAATCATCAATTATGGTCAATTGCAAATGATTTATAACGGCTATTAGATTAGTTTAAGTCAAAAGCAAGACAAGAGAGCTGCCACACACTCCACATTCATTCCCTCGAAATCATAATTTTTGAATTATTTAGAAGCGCACAAATATACTATATGTATAAGAGACATAAGGAACTGTAGAACTCAACATGCATTTCGTTTTTTTTTTTTTATTAATCTCTATTTAGTAGATTGAATTCAAGGTTATTCAAAGTTTTTATTTTTTCTAATCACTATTAAATTATTATAAAGATAAGATAAAGGAAAAAGCAAAGCAACATTTTCTAATAACTCTATAAATCCTACAGCTACAAAATTCATGTATAGAGCTAGCTGAGTAAAAAAAACTTAATAAGAGCTTCTTAAAGATTTTGTAATATACAAATTGCGGAAATAGAAAAAAAAAATTCAAAATAAAATATGCGCTCAGACCCACAATAAAAAAGTCGAATAGTTTCTTTCGACCAGTAAAAAATTGAGCTGAATCAGCTCAGTGCGCTTTTAAACTTGGTCAATGCTTGGCTTTGCATTTCTCTTCGCCACAGCCGTGGACTGCTATATAAAGCCACTCGTTTGGTGCAGTCCATATCGCAGTTCGCAATTGCCAAAGTTCCGCACTTAATCCGAAACCCAAATTAACTCCAAACATGAAGTTCATTGTGCTCGCCGCTGTTGCCTGCCTCTTGGCCACATCCGTTGCCGGCGCTGACAAGGAGGAGAAGATGCTTGGCTCTGCTTATGGGGGTGGCTATGGCCAGCCTGCCGCTGCACCCGCTCCCCAGGGCTACGGCGCACCAGCTGCTCCAGCTGCACCATCCTATTCAGCTAACGCGGCTCCAGCCCAGGCAGCACCCGTCTCCATTCCCGCACCGCCGTGCCCCAAGAACTATCTGTTCAGCTGCCAGCCCAACTTGGCTCCGGTACCATGCAGCGCTCCAGCTCCAAGCTATGGATCAGCTGGAGCCTACACCCAATACGCTCCTATCTATGCGCCACGCCCCCTACGTTGGTAAATCCCACACGCCTTCGGCGATACATCTAATTCGACAATTTCGAAAGCAAGACAATAAACCACGATTTCACAACTGAAAACTCTAGTATAATATTCAATATTGGCAATGGCTCGCCATTGCACTGGCCCCACTGCAGTGCGGCTACATTTATACTTTACTTTTCAGATATCAGCCTCCCGCTTCTTGGAAAATAAATAATGAATAAATAAACTATATGAGAAAAACTATTTAGAAGATCAAGTTCATAGTCCAAAGCTTCCTAAATTAATTACAATTATTAATTGATCATAAATTGATATTTGCCGACATACATTTACTTAGAGGAATTAATTGCAGAAGCCTCGAAGATGTTGATACTCTTGTTAACGGTACAATAATACCATGATGATACGTATATAGGTTAATAGTTTTACGAGTTTCCGATCACATATATATATCTTAATAAAATGGTTTAGTATCATGCACTTTCGCCTAGTTGCTCCAATTTGCGAATGAAAAATTGTGAATATTTAAATATATTTACTTATTGAAAAACCATTAACTATTCAATTGAATACAATGTCATTTAATTTATATGTATATGTGTATAAAAAACATTAACAAACTTTTTACTTAAGTATTACGTAAACTTGATAGCTGCTTAACAGCAGAAGCACATGGTATCATATATCATATAATAAATATCTCAGTGATTAGTTTTTGGATAGCCAAATATACTAAACGAAATAAAATGGAGTGACAATGGTAAAGGAAGGAAATATAAAACTATCTATGGTAAACTTAAAATCAATCGAATTTACACAATTTTTTAAGCGCAATGAATATATAAAGTATATAGAGAAATCGAGAAAACTAAATCTGTTTTTTTTTTTTTTTTTTTTTAATTATTTTTACTGAGCAATTTCGACTGAACATCAACTAAACATCGGCAATTTTTCACGAGAAGCTGTTGAAAAATTGGCGTTAGCTCTCAGTAGTCGTCGTCGTCGTCGGCGTCCTGGCCATCATCATAGAAACGCGCCGCCTGCAGTTGCTTGCGTATTGCGCCCACTTGTGTCAGGATCTTAGGGGACGATGTAGACACCGTGAACTTCTGCACGACGGGCACCTGGATTAATATTAGAATAGGTTACTATTTATGCTTAAGGCTCAATGAGCAACTACACACCTCCCAGCGCTTCTTAAGATTGTCCATTTTTTGCTGCTGCCGATTGCCGTCCAGCGTTGGGGCCGCGTCTTTGCGCGTCATTTTGGGCATTTCGCGCAACAGAGGCATTGATAAATTCTGCGTGGGAGTCTCGTGTAGAACGATATCGCGCCTTCCCAAGGTCTGTGGTGTTGTTTGTGTGCCGCGATGACGCGATTCACTTTTGCTGCGCAACTCCAGCTGCTGCTGCTGCTGCTGCTTGAGTGCCAAGTCGCCATAGTTTTTCAGGTAACGCGACAAGCGCTGATCCGTCTGACGTCTCACCCGCTTCATGGCTTGCTCATCGGCGCTGTCAACCTCGAAGCTGTTGTTCGCACTGCCCGAGACGGTGGGCAGCGGCTCCTGATCCAGCTGCAATGGCTTCACAGGCGTGGGCTTATAGTCCTCGTGAAACACCGAGTTTGGAGATATATTAAAGGAGTACGGCGGCGACGTCGTATCCACTGGGTTGGAGCTATTGTTCTCTGCTGCCGGCGGACAATTGACTTCCAGCACGCGAAACGAATCCTCTGTTGGCTGTTCGCGGTCCAGTTGCTCATTAATATGCGTGCGCTCGGCATCGCGACCGCAGGCGATCTCCTCCAGGCAAAAGGAGCACAGATTGCGGCGGCAATTCATGCAGACATTGCGCTCTCGCTGGCAGGCGCGGCAGACATCGCTCTTCACCAGACACTGGCCACACATGGCGTACAGGCGCTCACACTTCAAGCACACAAGCGCATAGCTATTCTGGCAGCTGTGATCAACTGCAGCAGCCGGTTCCACAGTCGCCTCATCGCTCGTTGCTGTCGGCGCTTCGCTGCTCGGCGGCTTCAGTTTCAAGGCCAATTTGCGCTGGCATCGCAGGCAACAGCTCTCATAGCTCTTCAGCGGTTCGTCGCAGAGCGGGCAGATCTTCTCGCACAAATGGAAGCATTCGCGCTCGATCTTCGCCATTTGAGGCAGTTCGAAATCGAGCTCCACGCCCGGCGGCAACGGCTGGCCGCGTCTATATTCGTGCCGTGCCGAATTGCTGAAATATTTGTAGACCTTATTTGTGTTGGCATTGCTGTTATTATTATTGTTGTTGTTATTGATGTTGGTGCTGTTTTTGTTGTTGGTGTTGTTGTTGTTGGCGTTGGCTTTGATATCCTTTGAATTATTCAGCTCCTTCGCATGCAACAGCTGCGCATCCTCCTCCAGTTTGGCCAGCAGCTTTTCGCGCATCAAACGGTTCCGTTCCGTCTCAATGCGTGCCTGTTGAAGCGATTAATCAGTTACTTTTAATATCAAATCCCTCAGCATATCAAATGTACGAAACCCAGTCAAGCGTCCATCGATACAAATTGTTTAATTTTTTTAGTATTCTGTCATCTTCAATTTGGCAATTGTAATTTAACGGACACATCGGAATGGAAAATATATTCCAGAATAATTTTAATTTCGGTACTATTTTCAAATAAGATGAGATATATTTTCCTATGAAACGAGCTTAGATAGTATAGAACTAACGGAACGGATTTCCATTGGAAAATAAGATAAGAACTGGCTATCGAAAATTGTTCTCATTCCTTCAAAAGTTTAGATTCATTATTTTAAGAAATCGAAACTGATGTGAGAATGAAAAATATTTTTTAAAAATTCTACTCGTTATAAAAATATATCTGTGAAATATAATCAAAATTAATTAAAATTCTCTTGAAGCAAATAAATATTGTAATTACTTAGGTAGAACATTAAATCGAATAATATAATCTGAAATTATATTATCTGGACAGTAAAGTAGAATTTTAGTTTTGATATTAATGATCGCAATCAGTGAGAAATAAGTGTAAAAAATAAAGAGCGCGATTCTACTATTTAAGGCAAGATGTTAAAAAGTTGACTTTAATATGCAGACAACAAATTCCAACAATCCTACAAATACATAATGATATTAGGGTGTTGGAAACAACACGAATTTGTGCACATATAGATCAGACTAAAGCCATCTATGGGGACAAACGTCAGATTTGATACTAAACAAACCTTCTCAGCGCGCTTCTTTTCCTTTTCGAGCTGCTCCTCCAAGTGCATCGTCTTGAGCTGTGCCTCCAGGCGCCTAGGCGAGAATAGGGAAGTGGTTGAGCATGGCTAGTAAAGTACTCGACAATAGTCACCTGGTCAGCGCCTCCTCCTGTCGCCGTTCCTTTTCTCGTAGCATCTCGATGGACCGACGCTTTTCTTCGATTTGCTGCATCAAGTCCCGCTGGTACTCTTTCTTGCGTGCCGTCTCCAGTTCGGCACTGCGCATGTTGCGCTCGTTGATGCCATCGCCGGAGACAATGTTGGAGAGCTCAACGTGGCCAAGATCATGGAGCAGCTGCTGGCGTGTCGTGGCCGTACGTATTTTCGGCGGCACATAGTTGGGGTTATTATTTACAATTAACTCTAGGTCAGTCTTATCCGTTCGGCTATGGTTTGTGCTTGTGCTGGATTGACTGGAGCGCGCCGTGGTCTGCAGCTCCTCTCCGGCCGGCACTGAAGTTGCTGTTGGCGTTGCTGTGGTTGGCTTCAGCTGTCTTCGCTGTTTACCCAAAGGCGGGTGCAGCATCTAGAAACAACACAAATCAATTTACTGCCTGGCACATAAATCCAACACGGATTAACATACCGGATGGCGCGATATGGTTTATGGTCTATAGTTCATGGCACTTACCTGGTGCTTAAGCAAGTTCTGCTGATTCTCGCGCTGTCGCTCACGCAAATAATTTTGGCGCTTCTGATTTTCATTGTTGAAGCCGGGAAAATACGAATAAAATGTGTCCGTAACCCATTGCTCCATGTCATCCTGTGCAAAAGAAAGAGAGCGCGCTCAGTTAGCATTCACATTATGCGGCGAGACTTGTTTTTCTTTGTGTGTGTTATATAAATCATTTCAGCTTTTGGCGACACCACTAACCACCAGCAGAAAGCTTGTGTACATTTTGTACGCCACGGTGGTGCGTGGGCAGTCTAATGAGAGCCGCTTTTTAGTAGAGGGAGAGCTGCAAATTATTGCCCAGTCGTTGTTCTTTGCCTTTTGGGGTCAGCCTATTGCCTGCGATGGGAGCTGCTCCAGCGAGGGCAGCACATTCCCTACTGCCAGCACCTTCTGCCACATAATTTGTATGCCGGCGACGCTGACAGCGGCGTCGACGTCGAACATCGCGTGCAGCGTTGGCATAAGATTTTACTTTTTGTTATAGAAAATAAGCAACTTTTCAGCAATATAGATTGCTTGACTTTCAAATATCCTAGATAAGCTGCATCATTTTCAAATGAAAGACTTTAAACAGTTTAAGAATAATTGGTAATATAATAGCAATAGAAAAAGAAAAACAAAAACAAAGACATAGAAAGTCGAACATTCATTAATAGGACTAAATACAGATTGAGAGAAAAATGAAAGGTAGGTAAGATGGAATTGTTACTGATGATAAGCAAACCGACGAAATATTCATTGATAAAAAAGCAGAAATCTTAAGTAGATATACACAATAAATATAGCACAGATACAACAACATAGAATGAGGTCAAAGTATATAGCGCTAAGTAATTGAGTTACGTGTAAGATTTATTCACTAAACAAAGCCAAAAGTCTTATATTAACTTTAAAGCCCGTCTTCACAGGGTATTGCCATGCAAAGAGCATTATGACCAGGGGCGTCGCTGGAGCTAGAGCAATAGCTGCGTCATCAGCCAAGCCAAAGGCAATGCCCCTTGGGTGTTTATCAACAAGGTTCAGCTGTTTGAGGCGTTCCACAATATGGACTAGGGGCTTGCATTCCAGCCGACTTCAGCTTGATGTTCGCCTTAATTAAAGTTCGTTTTAACAATTTCATCACTTGACAGCGACAACTTGGGCCAGTTGATAAAATGCTTCAGCTCTTAACATAATTAAAGGCTAATTTGCAGCAAGAATTACTTCTCCAACTACCAGGGATTGGTCTATTAGTCTAGCATTCCGTCAACACTCGCTGAGTAATTTGCATACTCTAGCACTTTGTTATTCAGGTCAAGGAAACTATCAACGAAAATAGGCGTGTATAAATATATATAAATATATTATAAATATGGCGCGTAGCTCAAGGAGTGCTCTGCCAATCAGTGGAAGTGTGCAAATAAATAGCATGGACTGGGCATGAAAATTTTCTTTTATTGTATTTAGGTTGCGTTGATCTAAAATACATAGGCGCTGGCACAGTGGAGCAAATGGCGTTTTATATACACAGACAGCAATGCCGACTCTCTGATTCCATGAGACAAGAAGGGAAAATCATTTTACTATTCCACTGATTTTATAAATCAAATTAGAGCCAACGACTTTTGTATAGAAATTTAAAACTAATCCTTGATTGCAGATCTCTTAAAAGATATGTGATTTAAATGCTTGTTAGATTTAAAAACTTGTTGGCCCCATTTTGTCAGCTCCAAGTAAAGGCTTTGACATAAATTTAAGTAGACGATTCCAGTTATTCAGCCATTGTGTTGGCGTTATCAAACTTTTACTAGGTCCATTCATTGGGGCGCCACTTTGCGTGTCCCGTTCGAATTAGGTTAACTAAGTGGGTAAACTTGTTTTAGTGTGGGCGCGAAAACTGCGAAAGCCGAGGAAAATGCGTATAAAAGCGCGCAGCAGGATCTGGACTCTTGGGGCTGTTTATGCTGAGGACTCCAGACACCATAAGTTCAAGGCCATTTCATGGAATTTTAAGCATGTGGCGCTCAAAACTAAAAACAAAAATATCCTGCAGTGGGATTGAAAAGCGTCTGGTGTCACGCTTTCCAAATTAGCTTTAACGGTTCATTAGCTGCGGGCAGCGATATGACAAAAATCTAAATCGCGTATACGCTAATCACATAGAGTCGTGAGAAGGCCTCGCATTCACTCACACTCACCCACACACACACGCGCACTCGTAATGCTGAACAATTAATTAGGGGACTTTCATATAACTGACCTTGTTCAGGTCGCGTCCTTTTTTTCGATTTCCTTTCTCTATGGCTTTAATGACTTAAGTGGCTCCTGCTCCTGCTCCAGACCCTGTGACTGCGAAGGGGCCTATAGGAGTATTGATGAGCTTTTAGCTCACCTCATCAATCATCCACATACAAAATTGTCATTAGCTATTGGCCAAGAAATGCTTTAGCGGAAATGACCAGCCACTAAACACCCCACAGTGCCCGAGCCTAGGGGCAAGTGCCGCGGCACGTCAAATCAAATATGGCACAATGCACTTTGTGGACGGAAATTGCATGACCAAACGCTTTCAGTTTTCATGCACTGACCAAACAAAAAATTGCACACAAAAAGTTGCTAAAAAATGCAAGCACTTAAAAAGCTTAAAAAGCAACCACGAAGCCATCTAAACCTACTATGTAAAAATATTTAGGTAATAGCATGAGGGGATAAGACTACATGCGCATGCATATATCTTTTAATTGCATTAATCATAAAAAGGCACAATGAAGAGTAGAATGAAATAACAAAATGTCGATAGAGATTTATTACAATATCATTTATAGATCTATGCGAAGATTGGCCTCACACAACTTGGGGCTCGAAGTTGCTAGACTCGCATAACATTTCAAAATTAAGTTAACTAAACTGAGGTATAACAAAATGAAGTGAGTCGCTATTTATTCTGCTTTCATAAATTGTGCGATTGTCATTAAGAACTCAACACTTCAACCATTTGATATGCCCATACTTAGGCAGGGTATACGTTCATACCATGTTAAATATTTTTTAAAACGCAGCAATTTCGCCAGTCGGGTGGTCGTTTTTTTTTTTTTTTTTTTTTTTTTGCCGCCCGCATTTTATAGCCAGCTCTCCTCTCTTTTCTCCTTAAAATTCTTTCTCTCTGCCACACTCTCTTATACTACCGGCATTTCGCACACATTGCTGGAACTGCGTTGGTTTTCTTTATGGCTGCGCGTTGCTTTAATTAAGGCATTTTCATTACACTTTTTATTTCGTTTTAATTAGAGACAATTTGTATTGATGCCACGCCTGCTGCTCACCTATATGATTGTGTGTTGTTGTTGTTGGTTGTTATAATTAAACGAGTTTATTTGTTCAGCAGCTTTTCAAGTTCAGGCCACAAATAAAATAGCAACAAACGCAACAAACGAGCTTCAAATTACAACTGAGCTGCGCAAACGAAATTCATCAGGCGAGCGGGCGCTAACGCTCAGCCAAAATGCCAACTGGAGCACGAAGAACAGCCACAGCAACAAGAACAACAGTAACAGCAACGACAACAACAACAGCAACAATAGGAAACAAGAATAGTAACAGTGTAAAGGGCATTAAGGATTCATGAGGCCGAACGCATGAAGGACATTACGCTTCAAAGTTAAAAATTGAATTATTTAATAATTGAAACTGTGACTGTGTTAAGACAAAATAACAAAGTAGAAAAACCTATTAGCCCAGTTAGCCAGCCATAGAGCATGTTGACTCTGCTTTCCTCGCAAGGCTCATGAGCTGCCATTATTATGAACATGCATGCTGAAAAGCGAAACCGAAGCATGAAAAATTCAAAATTGAAAAGTGAATCGTGAAAAATGAAAACTAACTATATTTCTGGTGATATTTCAATCTGAAGCAAGTAATTTAATACTCACTGTTCTGGCCTTAATAAACAGCGGGGGAATTGGAATGTATCTAAAATACAAATCGACAGAAATAGAGAAAAGCTAGAATTCATTGAGATTTTTCAGCAACAGTCTCTAAATTCTAAAAATCGATTGTTGATTTATATTAATCACTCGGAGCTAGGCACTCCAACAGACACATATGGTGGAATCAACTTGACTATTAGTCAATATATGTAGTAAATTCCCGCTTTCCTTTCGATTTCCTAAACATTTTTTGTACATATTTAAACAGACTGAACAAATGTAAGAGTCGTGTTTCAACAAAATATCCAATTTAATTAGGTAAAACGCACTCACAATTCGGTAAAGCCCAACTCGATTCACTTTGAAAAGCCTCTGACAACTAAAGCCAAATATTGTGGGCGCTGCTCCGTGCACTCGTAGCGGCTCAACGAGCCGTAAAGACATTCGCATAGTTATGGATAATCTTACGAGCGCTACGTTTTGGGCGTTTCGCCAATCGAGCGTGAACAACTGAAATTGGCAAGCACCAAAAGGCAGACACCGTCCCTCTCTCTTATCCATGCCTAATCACTTACGCCGGTCGCTCGCTTCCCAATTGGCAAACGATTCTCGCTCTGCGGTCGCTCGCTTTCCAAATTGCGATACGTCTCATTTGGTGATTTATATTGTCGCGCGCTGCCAATAAGCAATTCGCACTGATTCACAAATTCCTTGGCCGACTTTAGGCTAAGTGGTGAGGTGGCGGATAGGTTCCTCTGGTGCCGCTGTTCCTGTTCCGGCTCCTGCTCCAGCTTCAGTTCCGGCAAGTTCTCCTCTACGCTCAACTGTAGCTGCAGGTCGGAGTTTTGGTTAGGCGTTGCTAAGGCCGAGTTCGAGGCCTTTTCGAGTTCATTGCACTCGCTGTGGCTTTTGTTGGCCATGCGCTGACATTGCTTGGGCTTGTAGCCTTCCATTTGCATTAACAAGGTGGCAGGACAAACGCCCTGCGAATTGTTTGCACCATTCTGAAGAGTGTTGCTAGCTGCAGCCAGACGCTGGCGATCGAATTCCAACTGCTGGCGCTCTAGCGCTAGAAATTCCTCTAGATCCATATTGCCAATACATGTACGTTTAAATGTCAAACTATATAAAAAAAAAAAAAACATTAACAACAGCAGTGGATTCACAAAGCTAAACAAACTCACTAAAATAAAAGTGCATATAACAAGTGCTGCTCTAGTTTGGAACTAGCTTTTTGCCAGCTAAATTTGGCATTTTAAAAACAAGGCCTCACAGAAAATAGTGTGAACAACTTTTATATATATATATATATATTACGTTAATTTAATAAAAATTGCCTGCTTTTATGCAATGCATGAATTCATCACGAGCTCGCATTTGTCGCATTTCATCGTATATTGTTTACAATATCTGCAGCCATTTTCCTGCCACTTAACAAGCCAACCGAATCAATGCTGAATGCGTCGCAATAACTGATACTAATTCACATATTTTCACAAACAATAATTATTGAATTGCGGTAAATTTACAAAATTGTACGAAAAATGATCTTGTCACACAAAATTGGGCACATTTTGGACTCGTTGACTTGCAAATACATGTACTTGTATATTACTTTCGAAATTATTGACTATACTGCGGGCTCGCCTGCGATGACAATTCACGAAAAGCAGGGCTGCAGATTCAGCGTTGCTGTCGGCCCAGTGCTGGAAAACGGTAATATTAGCTCGTACTACAACTCTGTTTACCGTTTTCCAGATTTTCAAATTTAAATTTAAATTAAAGCAGGCTTCTGCAACTTGTCATTTATTATTTTTGGGGTACAAATTTATTCTGTCTTTACATGTAGATACCAGATTATAGATCATTGGGTGAGTGAAGAATTTTTTTTTTTTTTAATTGAACATATATTTACTTAATTTGAGCAGCTCGCCAGACATGTCTGAGAAGAGTGGACAGACAAAGTCGCTCGAAGCAAAATTACCCTGGTACTATAATGTATACAACACCATCAAGGATACTCCCATCAATTTGACGCTATTACTCGTCTCGGCATTCGTTTTCTATAAAGTGGTGAACATATCACGTCAACGTCGCAATTTGAATCGCGTTCGTAATTTCTTTGGTTACGGGACAGACAACGAAAAATCGCAGTTACCACCGCTACGACGTGATTTTACTGTTAAGGAGTTACTCAAATATAATGGCACTCGTGAGGATGGACGTATTCTAGTCGCGGTCAATTACAATATATACGATGTATCGTGTGCTAAGCAAGTGTATGGGCAGACTGGAGCTTATCCCCAATGGGCCGGATGTGATATATCGCGGAATTTGATCAACTTCACAGCGGAACGAAATGAGAATCAGGAATTCGATTATATGTGTGACCTAACAGCACAGCAAAGAAGCACTTTAGTGGAGTGGGATCAACAGTATAGCGAAAAATATCCACTTGTTGGCCGTTTGGTTTCCGATGATGATGACGATGAAGACGAACGACCCGTAGATGGTGAAAATGAAGAGGACAGAAAGAGCCAAATTGAACAACAGTTGGGCACAATATAAAATGTAACTGATATTACGAAAATTTGTTGTTACAAGCCTCGATCACATACAAAATAAAAATATCAAGTCAAAAAACGACGTGTTTAAATTGCCATGTCTTGTGCACCATTGCAAATACAACCCTGCGCTTTGACACCTAACCAGCACTGGGCATCAGCTGTGCAGATGTGACAGCGGCTCTCAAATTGCGCATCAACTTCCGTTTCTTTTCACTTTTGACCAGCAAGATGAAGTACGTAAAAAATATATAAATTCTCAAAATATGCGTACATCACTGTGCAGACATAATTGTTTTGCATTTGATATGACATTTAGATATGTGCCTTGGTGTTATGCTATAATATTTATTCAGACTATGCTTAAACAAAACATTTTATTTGCAGAATTGGCTTGTGTGCATTCAGTGGGTACAAAATCTACCCCGGCCATGGCAAGACCATGGTCAAAGTCGATGGCAAGGTATAGTAAACAACTAATATATTCAAATTGTCCAAATAAATCCAATATATATCAAATTTTTAGACCTTCACCTTTCTGGACAAGAAGTGCGAGCGCTCCTACCTGATGAAGCGTAATCCCCGCAAAGTCACCTGGACTGTGCTGTACCGCCGTAAGCACCGTAAGGGTATTGAGGAGGAGGCGTCCAAGAAGCGTACTCGCCGCACACAGAAATTCCAGCGCGCCATCGTCGGTGCCTCGCTTGCCGAGATTATGGCTAAGCGCAACATGAAACCCGAGGTGCGAAAGGCCCAACGGGATCAGGCCATCAAGGTAGCCAAGGAGCAGAAGCGCGCCGCTAAGGCAGCCAAGAAGGCCGCCGCGCCAGCACCCGCCAAGAAATCAGCGCCCAAGCAGAAGGCCACCAAGGTAACGCAGAAGTCGGCCCCTCGCGTCGGTGGCAAGCGGTAAACAACAATAAAATGTAGAAGAAAAACCACTGGTTGCTGGATTGTGCAAGTGAAGTGCAACGCGGATTTTACATCAAAAATGATTTAAGAAAAAAATTTAGTGAAACGCTAATTAAAAAACAAAAGCTACAAATGCACATTTGTAGCGGTAAAAAAAACGGCATCGCGTATTTTTTGTTTGGACAAAAAGTGAAACGAAAATGCGAGGGAAAAAGCGAACGATAATAAAATAACTTTATAGAAGACAAAACGTAGATGAAATCGAAACTACAGACGTATTAAATTTTATGTAGAAAGCTTCGTACATACAAATTGTGACGGAAGATTTACTGCAATGGTTGGAGTAGATACAATCGTGTCTGACATGCAAGATTACCTCAATCCAATTTTGTTTAAGTACTGCAAACCATATTTAATTGTGCACCATTCGCTGTCTAAGATTTATTTTACTAAACGGTTTGACGAACACTACTAATTCCACTTTACAGGCCCCTAACATAGTAGAGCCCATGAGTAAACATTTTGCTTATGGTATTGCTTCTCATGTGGAGAGAGAACTACAGACCCTCTATCTTCGGATTCGGGTCGAGAAGAAGCCTCACGTCCACAACATTTTCATTATCCTCTATTCTTCTGAATCCCATCAAAAAATTTCCCATTCGATAAGCATTTTATTTATTTATTTTTATACTCATTCACGAAAGTGAATCATTATACTCATTCACGAAAGTGAATCAGTATATTGGTTTTGTGCAATGTCCGTCTTGCTGTCTGCCCGTCCGTCCGTCTGTCCGTATGAACGCAATCTATTTCGGCGCTATTGATGCTAGAGACTTGAAATTTGGAACACATACTCGTGTATATCTCCGATTTATAAAGTGTTAAAATTTTCCCGATCCGCCCACTAGGGGCGTGGCAAATCGGAAAATGCATTTTCCGATATACCAGAAATCATGTTTGTTGAAGAGCTAGAAAGCTGAAATTTGGTATGTAGGTCCGCGTTGACCACCCAAGATCTCGAGCTATGGCGGATATATCTACGCCCATTGGGGGCGTGGCAAATCGGATAAAACTGTATCTCCTAAAGTTGTAAACCTAGAATGCTGAAATTTTACACGTCAGCTAATGGTATGATTCTATAAAGTCTAAAGATAAATTATAAGTCTACGCCCATTGGGGGCGTGGCAAACCGGACCTGAAGATATAGTGATTTTTTAAATTCTCCTATATTTTGGACACTATTGACCTAAAATTTTGTATATACACTCGGACTGATCACCCAAGACCAAAAAGTTTTGTCGGATATATGTCCGCCCACAGGGGGCGTGGCAAACCGCAAAAGATTATATCTCCTAAAGTATAATAGCTAGAAGCTTCAAATTTGGATAGTTGAGTTACTGGTAGCCTTCTCTATCGATTCCCCAAAAATAATTTTTACGCCTCTTTAGGGGCGTGGCATATCGAAAAATACCCTGTAATTTTCACATTTTTTGAGGGTAAGCATTCAAACTTTGCAGTTAGGGTACCGTTATCCCTTTCTAAAAACTGATCAAAAATGAGGTGTCTACGCCCAGTTGGGGCGTGGCAAATCGAAAAAACCTGTATATTCTACAGTATTAGAGCGAAACTTAACTACTAAATTATTGATGGGATGTGAATGAGTATTCCGCAGTCGGTAACGCCCGACTGCAACGTTCTTACTTGTTTTTTTTGGTTCAAATAAACTTTTTGCAATATTATTTAGCTTCCATAGAAAGACGGCGCTCAAATATAATTTCTTTAATTCGGACCTCAAAGTAAATATAAATAGAAAAAATCAAAATTTGGTTGATACGAAACATATGTATTACATATTTTATTCCTTTATCAAACGTTAGAGTTAACATAAAATGAAAACATGCTTCAAATTAAGCACTAGCTACTGAGGCTTTCAGCTTTCACATTTATATATGCAATGGATATGTAAATTTTATATTTTTTTTTACTTTTCTTGCTCTTTTAATTGTCCATTCTTTCATCTTCTATTCAACTCGTAAACGTAACTTAAAGTTGAATCCCTTTTTAAGGGTTGTTAGGGACTAACAGTTAGTTATGTTTTAAATGAACTCCGAGGTGTACTTCTTGATCCCTATAAAGTTGGTCAGCTGTCCAATGGCGTCTGTCTGGACCTTCACGTAGGTGTACTTGGGATCGTAGAGGATCGTAGCAGGGCGCTCTTGCAAGTCATCGTCGTAGGAGCTCTCCAGGTGCACCGTCGGCGGGTCCAGTTCGACGAGCCGAAGGCAGCCCAAATCGCAGAGCAGCTCCAGCAGTAGCATTGTGTCGACAGGCAGTAGATGGGGAAAGCGAAGGAATAAGCTGTGCACAGTGCAGCCATTCCTTGTTATGCACTCGCTAAGCAGGGCACCCATCCAACGATCGAGGACGCGACGATTGAGCGAAGCATTCACTCGAATCCAGGGATGGGGCCGCATGGCAATTACATCCCTTGTGGCTTCCGAATCCGACTTCATTTCGGTCTTCGCCTTCGTCTCAGATTTCTTCATGCGTTTGGAACGACGTGCACATTGCAGCAGCGCCTCCTCACTATCCGTGTCCTCCCCACTGCTTTGCTGCGGCTCCTCATCCAGTCTAGCCTTCTTGCTACAACTTGCCTGCAAATCCAAGCTCTGATCCACCATCTTCCTCTTCTGTCCCATCACCCCGGGCAATGTTGCCGGCGAAGCAGACACCCAATTCTGGACACGCTCCCGTTCCAGCCGCTTTATGTGGAACGTGTGCACCACCCAATTGCGCATGTGTGCCTTATGCACGTACATATAGCTGGCAACTCCCACGCGCTTGATCAGATCATGCGCCTCCAGCTGTTGCAGCGCTTCAAGCAGAAATTCGCCCAAGGGAAAGCTGCGACGTAATGATACGCCCTCAACGCCCAATGGATGTTCCTGTATGTGCTCCAAGATGTCCCTCACCTGCTGAATGGCCTGCGCCTCATAGTTGAGCCCTTCCAGCGTGGGCAGCAGCGTTTCGAAGCTGTTGTCGGTATATCGCCAGAAGGAGGCTCTGCAAGTAAACAGGAAGATGAGATATGAGACTAGATAAAGATGGCAGTGAGATGTCTCATCTGTGGGAGCAGCAAGATTACTTAAATATACCGATATATAAATATCCTCTGTGATTGAAATCCCAGTGCGAAACGCATTTGATATAGAGAAAGAAATTGGAGCTGAGAGCAAAAGAGAATCACTTAGGAAAATGCAAAGGGAGGGGCACGGTAGAGAACCGATGGGATTGGGGATGAGCAAGTGGCGGCAAATCACTTACTTGATCACCTTGTCGAGTACAGCTTTGCGCAGTTCATCTTGTCTAGCCTGCAGTTGCGGATGCTCCAGTTCTTGCATGTGGATCGTGGGCAGGTGCACAACAAAGACGTCCTGTGCGCGTGCACGCTCCTCTTTGTTTAGAGATGGCTCGTAATCTTGCGCACGCTCTCCGCTGTCCTCCTTGCCGGCCTCATAGGTGAGCAGTGCACTGCAGAGCGAATGCCAATCTGTTTTTTTGTGTAGCGTGGAGTCAGCTAAACGCTTGCCCAGATCTTTGACTTCCTGCGGCTGCTGCAGCTGGCGCCAGTGCTGCTCTAATTGCTCCACGAGTGCTATGAGATTCCCTGTGGAGACGGTCAAAGTGGTGCTGCTAGATGTGGAGCTATCCAGCTGTAACTGCAGCGCCACTTGAGGCAGTGCATCGGCCACCAATTGACGCAATATGGCGCGATGCTCGTAGATGATGCGCTCCACGGCATTTAGATAGTTTCCACTGTGCATTATGCAGCTGAAGGGGCATTCCCCGTGCTCCAGTCGCGCACAGCTAATGTTCACGGATTGCCCCAGTGCATCGAGCGCGCAGAAGAAGTGCATGCTTCGCATGGGTAGCTTATTGAGCTGATTATAGATGCTGCTCTGTAGACGATACGTAAGGTTTGCGGGGTGGAAGCGAACACGAGAGGCCGGGCGACCACTGCAAACACTCTCCAGCCGCTTGGAGTACTCCGTTTGCGGTGCATTGTCAAATATGCTGCTATAGTGGTCCAAGATGCGATCGGACGCGGACCCAGCCGTCTTGACTGGCATGCTGGTCGTATCCACATTGAGTATATTCACGGGCAGCTGCAGAGTCAAGCTCAACCAATTATTTGCCACCCATTCGCCCAGGAGCAGCAGCTGCGCGAAGTTGGGCGAGGGCAAATCCAGGCTGGTCAAGCCAGGAGATTCATGAAAACGACGCTCGAATGCGTAATAGGCTTCGTAGACCAGGTATCCGTACTTCTGGCACACTAGTCTGTACTTGTACTTGGAGCTAAGCAAATGCCCAGGGCCAGAGATGTGGCGATGCACATGCTGGATATGACGACGCTTGACGGCCACCAGAAGGGAATCTGCACGCGCCTTGTTGAAAGCAGCATTCAAGACGTCCTCAGAATAGTGTTTGTAGATCTCAAAGGCTTGCAGATTGAACAGCGTCTTATCCTTCGAGCAGCACAGGAGGCTGTGCTGTACGCCGAAGACAACAGTTATTTGAAGATCAGTCTCCGTTTTGGGATTGGCATAGAGCAGCAAGTCCTGTTCCCCATTCGAGCCAACACACTCCCTAAACCGGCTGCGGTAGTCCTCGAGGCTGTCGGGCAGCAGGAACTGCCGATAGACGCAGTCCTTAACAGAAAATAAGAGGATTAGCTTGGTTTATATACTACTCAAGTGGGACAACTGCCTACCTCGTTAATGATCAAGCGATGCAGCCTCTCCAGTATGATCACAAAGTGTATGAGCAGCGCTTCGGCTTGTTCGCTGCGCGTAGGATATTCCAGCTTGAGCTGCGGAAGAAAGCGTTCATTGTAGATGGCATTGAACTCCGGGTGGGATTGCATCATATAGATCCAGTTGCGCACATCCGGCTGGTCGCGCTTCATGCGGATGAGGAACTGCAGCCGTCGCACACAGGCCTGCGTTGTCTTGTTATTAATATTCAGATATCTGCGAATCACGTCCCGGCAAATGATGCCCACGCTGTACAGAGCCAGGGCGGGCAACGGTGCGTCAATGAACAAATAGACAGCTCGCCCCATCTTGAGAATGCGGTCCTCGGCAGGACACCACGTGACGCGCAAGGTGCGCATGTTGCGTAACGCGTCCCGATCGATGTCGTCGCGTGGTCCGGTCTTGCGCTTGCGCGTCTCCGCAGAGCTCGCACCGCGTGTCTTACCAAATCGTGGCACTGGCTTCAACCGAACCAAGCTGAGGCGCTTGCGCGCGGGAAACGATATTGTTGCCTTCCGGGCACTCGTTGCAGTGGAGCGTGGCGCTGGCACCGAGTTGCGCTTCACCCACGACCAGTGACGAAACTGGTGCGCGAAGAGCGAGGAGCTGAGGCCCGCAGCACCCTGCTGATCCCCTGGCACGCTGCCATCATCCAGCTTCTCTGCCTCGTCAAAGTCGGTCGTGCGCACAAAGCTGAGCGTGGGCAGGCGCTTCTCCTTTCTGCCAGCCACCTTGCGCTCCCTGTGCTTGAGGAACCCCAGCTTAGTGTAGATGCACACGTGCTGCAGCTTCGCCCAATAGTCGGCCACCTGCTCGCGACTGGTGAACTCGTAAGTGAGGCGCTCGTAGGTGAGGTCCGGATTAATCTTATTGTAATTGTGCCCACTGCTCGTGGTGGTGTCCAGCAGGCAGGTACGCTTGTTTAGATACACCCAGCGTTGCAGCGAGTCGCGGCCCGCCTGCCGCTCGCTGACCTGCAGCAGGCCCATGTTGTTTAGCAGACGGAGCATGCCCACGTAACGCTGCTGCAGCGTGAATCGCGGGATCAAGTTCTGCAGCTGCAGCTGCTGGAGCAGATAGTGCTGTCGCACCGGGTGTTGCAGCTGCGGGCGCAGCTTCTCCACCACATCTCGGTCGATGCGGAAGATGCGCAGCATCAGCGAGAGTGGCATGCGCTCCAAAGCATCCATGAAGTAGAGCCACCCCGACGGCTTCTCGTAGTGAGGCAAGGGCGGGATAAAAGTGCGCCAGCTAATCTCCTGCGTATAGGGCAACACTTCTGACTCCGTGGCTTGCCACTCCTCCAGATATTCGCGCGTCATCAACGAGGGCTCGCTGCGCTGCCACTGCTGCAGCAATTCCTCGTTCATTTGCAACGGCGTCTGACCGCGCTGCTGCTCGCACTGCAAGTAGAAGAGGAACTCGTGCAGGACGCAGGCCACCAGGAGCTTGGGTGCCGATGGCTTCGGCATGTCTTGGGGCTGGCGCTCAAGGCGTAGTTTTTTGCGCTCCATCTGCTCGCGCCGCTCCTTGCCCCGCAGCAGCTGGGCAGGCCGCAATAGCCGCTCCTCGGTTATCAAGTGGAAGTTGTTCTTTAAGCGCAACACCTCGCGCTTGAGTTGGTCGTGCTGCAGATCGATCTTGGGGTGGGTGACCAGGCGATAAAGACGCACGTTCTGCTCGTACTCTAAGGTCACCTCGTAGACATTCACGATGCGCATACGTTGCATCCGCTCCAGCAGTCGAAACAGCGACTTTCGACATATTTTCTCGTGTGTGCCAATGTTCTTCTCCGATTCCATGACGGCGCGCGCCAGGTCAATGGTGTTCACAATGCAGTTCTTGTCGATTTGCCGCACGATTATTATCTTGCGTGCCACGTGCCGTGGCGTCTCCTTATCGCTGCCCTTGTACAACTTCAGCGAGAATTCCATAACACGCACATTGGCTTTGATGCTGGGCACATCGTTGACCGTAATGTCCACGCTTTGCGGGATAGTCTGGAATAGGAGTGTAAATAGCTTTCAGTTGAGTTTATAAGAGGTAAACGTAAAATAGGCACAAGGGACGTGCCAAATCTTTTCTACAGAAACTTTCAATTAGATGCCTGAGCTTGCGAGGACAAACTTCTAGAAGGATATAAGCCCATTAGGGGCGTGGCCACAGGGTTCCGAAATAAAAAAATATTCATTTTGCGAAAATTTAACATTTGCTGGAATTTTAAGCTAAGATATATCATACATTGAATTGTGTTCGACATTACCGGTTCGTCTTGGCACTGGACCTGCATCAACGATTTCTCGAGCTGCTCCTCCTTTTCCTTGTAAATCGCCTCGGCTTGAGTCCCAACTGCCACGAAGCGTGTAATACGACTTTTGCCGGATGTTTCTGTATAGCTCTTGATTCTTTTTTTCCGTATCAGATATTTGATAACACCTCGTGCAATTTGAAAATTGATGGACACATACTGACCCAGCTCGAGGGTGCTCATGCCCCGCGTACCGAAGTGCTTGATAGCACGCAAGCATTCCAGCTCGATGGGCATATTGACATGGGCATGTCGCTGACTCAGCAACTCATCGGGCGCCTTGTCCTCTCGGTCTTCAGTTTGGTCCAGCTGATTGAGATCATCAAACTCCATGTTGGGGTTGCGAAGACGCACAATCGACATTTTTCTGCCTTTTGATTGGGGTTTTGAGCCGCTGCTCGCTGAACCTGGCGGATAGATGAGCGCCGTCTCAAAGATCTTGCGAAAGGTGTGCGAGACGAGCAGCTTCTTAAGCCTTGAATGGGATAGATCCGGTATACGCTCCAATACTTCGCAGCTCGGTATATACTCAAGCGGGCTCGCTTTGATCTCTGTGTAGAACTTTTCCATGGTGATCTGAGTGTAGGTCTTGTAGATTCGAAAGAAACGTGGCAGCATAACCAAGTTGGAGATCAAGTTGCGTCCATTAAGGCGCTCCGTATAGGCCTGTCCGACAACCAGTTGCTGTTTCTGCAACCCATTTCTGCGTTGGCAATAAATATTATTTGAGACGAAAATACGCTTGTTATGCATAATTTGGCAACTCACTTCAAATAAAATATAAAACTGGGGTCACTGAAATAATTGGTCAACGACCAGGGACCCCGTGTGGTTTCTCCATTATAGCGTGAACGTCCCACAGTCTCAAGAAACACATAATGCTGCACGGTTAGCTCGCGGGGCAGCAGCATGTTTGCTGGCTTCAGCGCTTTCAAGCGCAGCTCCTGGTTTGCTACTACGACCAGCTTTTGTTGATATTTCTCGGTGGCTTCTGCAGCGGACAATGCCTTCAATTCGCCCACAGATATGCGGCGGCGGGTCTTGTAGTCCTTGCAGTTGCCCCGTATATTGCCATCCTGTACGGGAGCGAAAGGCAGGCGCAAAAATGGACAGCTCTCTGGAATTACAGGCATTCCGCATTCCACATCCTGATCATTGGTGCGCTTATATAGCGGCATCAACGGCCTCGCCTCGGGCAATATGAAGAAGCTTACTTCCTGTGTCGACCGTAATAATAGCATCCATATTTGCTGATGCAACTTATCTGGCAAGGACTTCCCGCCGTACAGTCTTATAGACAACAGCGGCCACAGAGCTACATATAAACAAATTATTTATGTATTTATTTATACATTTCAACAGTCACTATTTTTTCACTTACATGGTAATGTGGTGCCGTCCAAGCCTTCTAGCGCAATTTCATCAAAAACAGCATCTATCCAGGAGCCACTTGCGTATGCGGCACACATTTTCAATGTTTATAAATGTGAATATTATTTACTTTACTTGCATTTCAATTTGATTCAGTATACAACTGATTAGTGCGTCACATTAAACAGCTGTTTCTATTAGAGTTACACCGTTCCGTTCAGAACCAGATCAGAAATGAACTGCTGCACATTTCGGTTTCTATATGAACAAAACAATTACATTAAAACAATACTTTTTGAAATTAATTACATTGTTCGCAGTAACACACAATTATTCTGACTAAAAGTAGCAGATATCCGTAATAGCTTATTTAACTGTATATCTGAGTAAATTAAAATCTCAAATAAACTCTACTGGCAAAGATCTTTTGCAGTGTTGCAAAATACGTAAGCCGGCTGTGTTAGAGTGAGACCAAGCTACTGTCGCAACCAGCAGCTGTCAAAAAAGATGCAGCTGCCTACAAACAAACGCCGCAATTTCTGTCAATTCTAGCGCTCTTTTGCGAGGTTAGCGCAAATTCCACAAGCTTGCAAAAAACGAGAACTTAAATACGAAAAAACACTGTTTTAACAGAAATAATAATTAACAAATAGATAAAAAGCGAAAATGTCTAACGCGTCTATGTCAAACTTCAGCTTCGCCAGTATGGCAGCACAGCTCAACGAGGAGCAGGGCATTTCCTTTCAAGATAAGAGCGAGACCTGGAATAATGCCGAAGATGGTAAGCTGAACCATGAATATTTTTAAAATGTAATATGTACCTTCATCACTTTTGTCAAACATCGACAGTTAAAGCCGTAGTTGAAGCGCTCAACAAGCAATCCACAGTTCACTATCTCAATCTCGATGGCAACACTTTGGGCGTGGAAGCCGCGAAAGCTATTGGCCAGGCGCTCCACAAGCATCCAGAATTTCGCAAAGCTCTGTGGAAAAACCTCTTTACTAGACGTCTCAAGGACGAGATTCCACTGGCTTTGGAGCATTTGGGCGCTGGTTTAATTGCAGCTGGAGCCAAGCTTACAGTGCTGGATCTCAGCGACAACGCACTTGGTCCAAACGGAATGACCGGGCTGGAGAAGTTCCTACGTTCGCCCGTCTGCTACTCCTTGCAGGAGTTGTACCTCAATAATTGTGGCCTTGGTCCTGAGGGCGGAAGAATGTTATCCATTGCCCTCATCGATCTGCATAAGAATGCCAAGGAGGCGGGTACACCGCTGCAATTGCGGGTCTTTGTGGCGGGACGCAATCGTTTGGAGAACGCCGGCGCCAAGGCTTTGTCAAAAACATTCAAAGTACTGCAAACGCTGGAAGAGATTACAATTCCACAGAATTCCATTTACCACGTTGGCGTCGCTGCACTTGCGAGTAGTTTTAAGCAGAATCCCCACTTGCGAATCCTCAACATGAATGACAATACGTTGGGTGTTCGTGGAGCTGCTAAGATCGCCGAAGTCTTTGAGCATACCCCGCTGTAGGTGTAAAAATCGGATCGCTATTTCCAAACGTTCCATCCTCTATTTTCTCACTTTTATTCCCTTGCAGACTGCGTGAGATCAACTTTGGCGACTGTTTGCTAAAGACCGATGGCGCTTACCATTTCGCTGAGGCTCTGGAACAGAACCACGAACAATTAGAGCTTCTCGATTTGGGATTCAATGACATCAACTATGATGGCGGTCTGGTGCTGGTGACGGCCGTGCAGCACAAACCCAAGCTGCGTGTATTCAATCTGGATGGCAATTGCTTTGGTCAACATGGGAGCGAGCAAATCGTTGCCCAAATGGCCAAATGCAAGAATGCTGCTGCCTTACAGTCTTTGGACGAAGTGGTTTCCGAAGAAGAGGGCGAGGAGAATGGCGCTGACAATGATGACAATGTGACACCCGATAACAGCGACGACGATGAAGCTTCTGATGACCAAGACGACGACGATGACCAAGATGATGATGAAGAATACGATCCAAACGATACAACAGAAGAGGTGGACGAAGATGACGACGAAGCCTACGTGACCACCAACGCTTATACCACCAAGGTAATTCGACTAGATTTCAACGAAATGTTTAGTCAGACTTGCTTAATGATTGATGGCTTTACTGGATTAATGGATTTACTCTTTACAGCTCTTCAACGACAGCAACTGCAACAAGGCCCCTAACAATTTCGATATGACCATCAAGAATGGCAACAAATCGCCTGCCGAAGCCTGCACTCCCGAAAAGTTTTGCCTAAGTCAACGGCCTTGCACTCTGCAGCAATTCGACTCGCTAGAGGCCAATAATAAGCTGGAGGCCTTCCACAACATAATCAATGTAAGCGCTATGTCTGTAAGGGCACGAGAGATAGGAACAGAAAGCCCAATGAATTTAATTATGAAAATTAATTGCATTATGCAAACAAAGCAAAGAGATGGATTGACAAAATCAAATGAGTATCAGTTGGTATAAGTTGTTATATGACTTTCGATTTATCAAATTTATATCAGTTGGGTCATAGACTAGACTAGGTAAACCCCAAGGCACATTTGTAAAATTCCATTATCCTAAATGAAATCATTAGGCATTAGATAAAACATAAATACTTTCGATCAATTAGATAATAGCCAATTCTACTCTCTTTACAGCTTTTCAGCGAGGATAATCACTTGCTGTTGCTTATCTTTACGACGCTCAAGTGCGGACATCTTGCTCAAACGTCGCCGGCTGCTTTGGAGCTGGCCATATCACTCTATCAGGCCACTTTTGACTACGCCATCAAAACAGAGCAGGAATCGCGAGTCCTGGACTACTACCTCATTCAGTTAGGTCTGTTGCGCAGCGAGGAGCGCTTCAAGAGCGAATACAATCTAAAAAGCTGCCGGTACGCTCTCCGCGAGGCAATCAAAAAGGAAAGTTTTGCCAATGATAACATTAAGAATACCTTTAAAACATTTCTTGATCAACTCGACGTTTAGCGAGTAACACTAGAGTAAGATTTTAAGAAGAAAAATATGTTTTCATGCGTTGAAATATACGAAGTATTTAAAACAAAATATATCTAATATTTTACGACTCTCGTTTTCCAGCCTAAATCAAGGGAATTAGCTCTACCCTAATAAGGCCACAAGATACAGTTTTCTAATAAAATTCTAGGTGTATATTATTTTATTAAATATCTTTTTAATTTAAAAATTACCATTTATTGTTTTTGCAACTAATACGGTTTAAGAAATATATGATAGTTATCTAAATTATTCACCAGACTCTACTCTCATAGAAGGAATATGAACTCGATATCACTATGTAGAAATAAAAAATAATATAACTTAAAGACATTACAGGATTTATTTTCAAAATATAGTTTAAATAGATTCATAAATAAAGAACTGTCCGTATAAGTACAATAAAAATATCATCGAAACAAATGAATATATAACTATGGAATAGAAATCTATTGACGTTGACAAATTCTATATTCAATAAAACAAAACCATGTAGCAGGCTTTCCCTATTCCTTAATACACATTTCGAAATATTTTTTTTTAGATGCCTGCGTAAAATACATTTTATTTACATGGAAAATATGGTATTATATGTGACTACACACTATATATATATATGTATATACATATATATGTATATATGTGTTCATAATAGATTGAGAGTTCCGTATTGTATTGGTGGATTATCGCTTGGTTTTGCATTATTAAAATTACAGTGATAGAATGTTGCGAAGTTGTTAAACAGTGTAAAAAAAAAAGTGGGATATACAATTTTGGAACATCGGTTACAATGTTATTTAAAATTTCCCTTAATTGATTTGGTTTCTGTAATTTTTGTTGTTAATTTTTTTAAACTTTTCGCATCGCTATATAAGAAATACTTGCTTACTTTACTTATTAAAGTAGTTGCCCTAGAAATAAAATTTGCATTCTGTGCATATGTGCTCTCTTCGTCCCTCTCTGCTTTACTTTTTGGTAAGATATTTGCAACAAGATACCAGGAGTAGATCTGCGAGCGGCCACTTAAGAGCATTAACACTTAATGCTTATATATATATATATTTATATGTATATATGTATGTTGGCTTATGCTTCAAAATCGGAATCATCGTCATCGTCCACACCAACAACATCATCGTCGCTGCTCTCGCTATCCAAAGCGCGTGCCTTTTTGGCCGTAGCCTTTTTCTTGGCTCCTCCACTGCTGTCATCTTCTCGTTGTCGTTTAGCAGCTGGACGTTTAATGGGCGAATCATCCATATCATCGTCGTTATCGTTGTTGGTTTCGTCGTGCTCCTCGCCCTCTTCATCCGAAATGAGGAAGGAGTAATTGATCTTCTTGCTGGCTGCACGGCGACCTGGACGCTCAACACGTGGAACCTCTTCGGCCAGTTCACCAGAGCTGTCGAGTGATTCCTTCTTCTTGCCCTAATAGAAATAGATATGTAACTTACTAATCGATCAATTACAACTACCACGCTTAATTTACCTTGCTAAAGTCCAGTTTACCCTGCTTAAGCCCATCGCCGTTTTGCTTCTTCGGCTTCTTCTCGGCGGGTTCCTTTTTAGGTGCTTTCTTGGCCTTTGGCGAGGTTTTTGGGGCACCGCCCTCGACGAGCAAATCAAAATCGTCCACCTCTTTGTCGGCCGTTGTTTCCTCCTTCTTAACAGCTTTAACTTTGGTCATCCGCTCCTTTGTCTTGACGGCCGTGTTTGTGGCTGCTTGGAATTTCTTAATAATTTCATCGGTGACTTTGAATGCGACGCGCTCGCCAATCGGGTCGGGAAAGATGTCCGCGTTGCCTGCTGATTTGCCGCCCTTCTTGGCACGACCCGCCGCCGGCTTTTGACCCTTCATAGCCTTGGCTTGCTTGAGATTAATACCTTGCTCTTCTAATCTCTCCTTCTCTTCGACCTCGGTGAGTTTTTGTTCGAGATTGTCGAGATCATCCAGCCACAGATGGCTAGGAGTCTTCTTCATTAGATTATCTAATTCCGCTATCTTGAGATCGCGTTGCTTGAGCAGCTCATTCTTGCGCTCCTCGGTCAACATCCACATGGACATACCCAGCAGATAATCAAATTTCTTGACTTCTGTTAGCTTCTGGAATGCCTTCTCGGGATCCACTTCTTTTTTAATTTTTTTGCTGCTGGCTCCAACTGAGCT